TTTTTTTTTTGTGGAGGGGCAAGTGAAAAATTGGTAAGCCAAGAACAAATCCAAAGCACTGGCCCAATCCTGACCAACATAAACTACCCTTGTTGTGCTCTGCATCCATAAATAGAATTTCCTGGAACTTAAAATGACAAAATGCTGTGGCAGATTCAGTGTTTCACCTTTTACATATGATTTAAAACACCACGGGTGCAGTTCACAGAGCAGCACACTACTGACTCTGATGCAACAGAATCCTTGTGAAATGAAACAGCCTTTTTCACAAAAATCCATGAACATTTGAGAGGAAACCGAGGCTCTGATTACAGCAGTGGAAATCTACCAAAACAGAAAATGCAAGTTGAGGAAGCCTGAAACCACAGGAAATCTGCACTCTTACCCAACAAGACTTCACGTGCTGGTTCAAAGAGCCTTTTAGATGAGACAATACAGTAAATGATCCACTGCAAACACTAAAACACGGTACAGCCGGAGTAAACGTGTTTAAATATATTTAGGATATTTAGACAACTATTTTATGTCTAATTACAGTGAGTGAATGCTGGAGATGAAGGAGTAGATCAATAAGATGTTAGGTTGGAATAATATAATAATAAAACCTTGTTTTGATTAATGCTGAACATAAACTGTTTATGAAGGAATCAATCCTGCTGTGCACGTGAAGTCAACACAAATATAAATTAAATCACTTGATTATATGAAGACTATTACAGAATATAGATTTATTATATGACTTTCACTGCTACTGATCCTCAGTCATTATAAGTAAATAATGTCAGTCTCCCTGCTTTGGGTTATGTTTTATGGTTTATGCTTGTATAGAGGATATAAATGGAGGAGCTATTTAAATGACATATGCTTTATCTTCTGCTGGGTTTAATTAATTTGAATACGCTTTTCCCGATAAAAGTCAGTAAAATGTTGACAGATTTCCTTTAAGACAAATCAAAGGGTCCTGTAAGGTCAACTAACTATTTTTGTTTGCACGTCCAGTGTCTGTGAATATAATATAATAACATAAATCTCAACACTCATGTGTTGAATATTAAGCACGTCCACCATACTGAAAATACATTTTCGCGTATTTTCAGCTGTTTTGTTGGTGTTATCATTACAGTAGGCTACTCACTATTTATTGTAGCACAATGATTGATAAATCACATAACTAAAAAATTATAAGCATATATAAAACCACATAGATCTGTCGAAATCAGAGTCCTAAACAGCCTCGGTCTTGACCGGGTCTTACCGGACAGCTCGTCTGGTTCTAAGCCGCTCTCGGTGTCCAGACCGCAGGTCACGAAATAATCCGCGAAGCGGCAGGAGCTCGAGCTGAATCCGGTGCTCATTTTGAGACGGCTCCGCTTGTGCTCTTCTGTGTGTGGGTCTAGAGGAGCGCATAGTACGAGCTCTCTGGATCACTCTGCGCAGCCATTGCCGATGCGGACCAAGGCAGGAGCCCAGAGCGCCAGTCGCATTGTGGCCTCCGGTACAGCTGTTGTCCGTCCTCAGCGCTCGCTGGTGCGCACGCGCGTCGCTCTGCTCGGAATGCCGTTATGCGTTAAGCCCCGAAGCATCTTCGCCGGAGACCGAACGAACGCCGCCGCATCACACTTCCGCTGCGAATACATAATCGCTTGTTTAACATCAATGGAAGTCAAGTCACATAGTAAGTCGTCAACCAACAATTAACTTTAAATAACGTCATAGGTCTGCGGCTTTAAGAATGTGTCATAATAAATCGTAGCAGCATAGAAATGTGTTGTTTGATGTTGCCCTCTGGTGATGCATTTGGAAATCACACGCATGTAACTTTGTGTCTCCTGAAATAAAGCACATGATGGCATTGATCAGCCTTCAGTTGGATTTTGGTATAATGTGCAATAATGATATAGATATTGTGCGTGATGGTAATGACATTTTTCCTTTTTGAATAAAATTGGATGAGCCTTGACAACACAAGCAGTCAATTAACTTAACCGAAGTTCTAAAAATAAATGAATTACGAATTATGTAAACAATTAAGATACTGTCTCAGATCGAGACAAATGTCGTTATTCTTAACAATTATAATTTTCAACTTGTTACTTGGCTGTCCTGGCAGAAAAGTGATCTTATGTACATTCATTCATTCATTCATTCAATTTATTAATCTTTTTTAAATCTCTAAAATGAAAAACGTTTGGTATGATGGTAATGACAGCAGTACTGGGGACATCAGTTATTTGTCACTTTTTCAATAATTTTTTGAATGCCAAATAAATTAAAATGTGATGTTTAAGTTGTTTTGCTTTTGATATATAACATATTTATTCAGACTTTAACATTTATAAGTGGGGAAATTACAAGGTCTGGGTGAGCATTGTGGCCTCCGGTACAGCTGTTGTCCGTCCTCAGCGCTCGCTGGTGCGCACGCGCGTCGCTCTGCTCGGAATGCCGTTATGCGTTAAGCCCCGAAGCATCTTCGCCGGAGACCGAACGAACGCCGCCGCATCACACTTCCGCTGCGAATACATAATCGCTTGTTTAACATCAATGGAAGTCAAGTCACATAGTAAGTCGTCAACCAACAATTAACTTTAAATAACGTCATAGGTCTGCGGTTTTAAGAATTTGTCATAATAAATCGTAGCAGCATCGAAATGTGTTGTTTGATGTTGCCCTCTGGTGATGCATTTGGAAATCACACGCATATAACTTTGTGTCTCCTGAAATAAAGCACATGATGGCATTGATCAGCCTTCAGTTGGATTTTGGTATAATGTGCAATAATGATATATTGTGCGTGATGGTAATGACATTTTTCCTTTTTGAATAAAATTGGATGAGCCTTGGACTTAACCAACACAAGCAGTCAATTAACTTAACCGAAGTTCTAAAAATAAATGAATTACGAATTATGTAAACAATTAAGATAATGTCTCAGATCGAGACAAATGTCGTTATTCTTAACAATTATAATTTTCAACTTGGCTGTCCTGGCAGAAAAGTGATCTTATGTACATTCATTCATTCATTCAATTTATTAATCTTTTTTAAATCTCTAAAATGAAAAACGTTTGGTATGATGGTAATATGACAGCAGTACTGGGGACATCAGTTATTTGTCACTTTTTCAATTACTTTTTGAATGCCAAATAAATTAAAATGTGATTTTTAAGTGGTTTTGCTTTTGATATATAACATATTTATTCAGACTTTAAAGGGGTCATATGATGCTGCTAAAAAGAACAGTATTTTGTGTATTTGGTGTAATGAAATGTGTTTATGCGGTTTAAGGTTAAAAAACACATTATTTTCCACATACTGTAAAATGACATACAGCTGTTATCACTTAGGGTATACTCACTTTTGTTGCCAGCTATTTTGACAATAATGGCTGTATGTTGAGTTATTTTCAGAGGACAGTAA